GATCTCAAAAGAGAAGAAATGTCACCAAAGAACAAATATTATTCCCAGGGCTATATTATTCTCAGTTACATGTAAACTATATGCACTATAATTGAAATAGATGCAACTGGTGTGTCTTCCATAGAAGAAACATTAATTGTATTGTTGCTAAGTTTTAAAGCACTTTACACTGCAGAGTGACAAATACCAGCATACATTAATATAGCCACCTCCTAAAACGGGCTTAAAAAGAAACTGTCTCATATAAAACCATTTATAATACTGATCTTATTGATGTCAGCAGGAAAATGTCCACTGATTTCAAAGTGAGAAGCTAAGCTCTTTCTTACCAGTACAATATTAACCAAGATTAATAAAACTGAGTGTATTGTAACAAGGCATTTATGTATTTGGGGGGAATTTTTCCCATTCAGCAAGTCTCAGAGCACAGCTGGGCCAATAGTGTTCTCAATTATCTTTTTATTTATGTGAGCTGCTCTGTTTCACAATCTCACATATCAGCAAAATTCTGCACATGTACAGATGGCACGTACCAGAGACGAGAAGCAAATTTGAGGAAATGTGTTTAGATATTTTCAAATAAATCATGGGAGCATTTCTATTTGGCTTGTATTTTTGAAAGTAAAAAAAAAAAAAAAAGTTTTTTAAAATCTATTTTTCAGACAAATCGCAAACAGCAAGAATACCCAGATGACAAAGTAGAAATAGAATAAAGTGCTATTAATCCACAGGCAGTAGTCCAACACACTTAATACTAATCTGTATTATTACTTTTTACATTTATAATAAGGCTAATGAAATTCAAATAAATTATCTCATCTTGTTTGGGACTGTTAGAGAAAAAATGCAGATTCACATAAGTAGAATTTCAACTATACATTTACAGTTGACAGTAGGTGGTGAAATCAACAGCTGCTTTCAGGAAATACTAAACAAATTAAAAATGCTTTGTGCTACCACTTTATTCTCTAATTTATTAATCTCTATCAACAATGATAGATCAAATTAAAAGGCAGAAGCTCAGGCCTTCACCTTTGTTGCCCACATGGATTTATTTTAGCTCTCTTGCTGGCTCTGTTTTGACCTGCTTGCAGGAGCCCTCTCTGTCGAGCCCCAGGGCATGCAGCACGTACACTCAGTTTCATGTGATAGAAACACAACTTAGTGGGTTGCAACTTGGTAGGATCTTCTGCTTAAAGGGAGGCTGGTTTAAGCTGCAAGTGCCTTGTAACTCCAGCCCTCTTCCAGTTAGCAGGACAGAAATAACCTAACTATCAATTTCCAGAACTGCAGCTGTTTTTCCAGAGCAAAGATCGGGATCCATGATGAGTGATAAAACACTAAACCAGATAGATCTTGCTTTGTTTATGCTGTATTACTGCATGTGATATTGTACTGCAGAAAAAATATTTAGTGATGCTAACATTGCAAATGCCACAGGTAGCCAGGGAGCTGGTCAAATTTCTATGTAACAAAGGAAACATAGTATTTGGGAGATTTTAGATAAAAATAAAAAAAAAAAGGTAGACAATTTGCAAATTGCTAACTATGCCAGTGTCATTAGTTACTAGTTCCCAGAAGGAAAAATAAGCATGCACAGGTTATGTGATTTGCCACACATCAACTCCCCAGGATGTCAGCAGGGTTCAGTACTCACTCAAACATGTGCCGGGCCAGGACGAGCCATGAAGGTTAGCTCCACTGTATGCATTCATATCCAGTATCTGTGGTGAACTGACTTTATCTGTGTCCACGCAAAAGTGCGATTCTGGCATCTAGTGGAGTTTTTGTGAGACAGTAAGGAAATAATCATAGAATCATAGAATAGTTAGGGTTGGAAAGGACCTTAAGATCATCTAGTTCCAACCCCTCTGCCATGGGCAGGGACACCTCACACTAAACCATCTCATTCCAAGCTTTTCACTCAGGACAATTAATAGTGAAGAGTAGGTTAAAATCCTTCAGACTGGAGGGACAGCAGGTGAAAACATTGTGTATGAGAGAGTATTTCAATTTCCCAAACAGTCATTTTTCAGTGCTCCAAACCCATGACCTGCTGTGAAGAGGACAAGGGGAATCCTCCACGTATGGAGTTGGGGGTCCCCAAAACCCCCCACCGGGCAGACTTACACCTGGTAGGAGGCTTAGGGACTGAGAGAGTTTGAGACCTACAGGATGAGGCAGCAGCTACATCATGGTTACAAAGACACATGACAGCACCTAAAATATGAGCTTGGCAGTCAAAGAAGGATTCTGCCACCCTCCACTAAAAGAGCAACCAGGGACCGCTCACGCAGTGAATAAATCAAGAACCAGAAGGTTGGAAAAATGAATCTATCATTTTGTGACTTGCAGCATGTAAGGAGCTGAAAGCAATTGGAGTTCCTGCTTGTCTTCTGCCACAGCCAAGCATAAATTGATTGGAGTTGGGTGATGTGTGGTTTGGGGAAAAGCAATGTCTCACACAAGAGGGCAGGTGGTAGGGAGCACATGGCTCAAATGGTGAACAAATGTCATGAAACAGGCCCTCCCTAAACTTCATCAAATGGATTGTGAACAGAGTATTAAATCAGAGATACCCATCCCCTCACCACCACCCCAGCACAAATATCTCCTTGGAAACCCTGCTAAAAACCCAAACACATTCAGACTTAAGGCTAAAAAAAGCAGAAAGAAAAGGAAACATCTGAAGTTGCCTAGAAAATTGTGAAATCTGATTTAAACAACCCCAAGCTGACAGTTTTCCCAGCTTTTTATGACCAAGCTTTGCTTTGCCTGGAATCACAAAGGTATAGAATCTACATGTCGGACCCCAGTGAGTTACACACAAAAAAAAAACAACAGTTGGCAAAGTCCACAGGTTGTGATCCCAGATACCAGCAACCAGGAAACACTAGACAAGACACTAATACAGAGGAAGATAGAGCAAGAAATTGCCAATGTATACATATAAGATGCATATTTCTGGTTTAGGTTAATGCTTCCCAAATCATTCAAGCAAACTGCTGCATACAGTCATGTTTGTGATGTTTTGCTAGCAACTGATTTTGTAACAGCTAAAGTAGAAGCATGTGATAATTTTTTGAAGCCCTCTGAAGCTGGCACCTCAAACTAAAGGGTAGTACTAACTGCTTTGTGTGTCCAATATGTTGGTTCCTTATTCCCCAACTATTCTTCTTTGCTCCTACGTAGCTCAGCCCTCGCATCAATGTTTCAAAATTCTTTTTGAAGGCACAATTCTTGTTGTTTTCCACCCAAAGATACAGCAAAGCCACCTGAAAGTGATCTGAATAAAGGGAAGTATGCCTGGATCTGCCCCAAGGCTGCTGCTACCACCAGGAAAAAAGAGCTGTAAGTCAGTGAGAGTGGGGTGGTCAGGAGACACTGGCAGCTGGAAGGAGCCAGAGAAAAGGAAGTGGGATAGACAGAAAAAGAAACACTCACTGGCTGGAAAGAGCTTGGGAAGGCAGGGTGGAGGAGGAGCACTCAGGTGCCAAAATATGCAGTGGTAACCCCATGTATGAAAAGTTACTTTTTTAGCAAGAGCACAGGATGAATATACAGATGTTTACATGCCTGAAAATATGCTGAATTCCAAATTAACTATTTCTAAATCAGATTTTTTTAACTTCAAGTTTCAGCAAATAATCATCCTGTATCCACAGACCAAAGCACAAAATTATCTTCTGAAGATTAAAAAACAGGAATCGCACATACCTTTCTCAGTCAGAAGTGCATTATCTTCTTCTCAAGGTAACTCTCCTCATTAATTGATTAGTCTACTCTTTTTCATTAATTGTGTCCCAAAGAAGCAATCAAATAAATGAAGCAGACAGAAAAGATTACTTGGTTTCAGGAAGGTGGGTACTAGAGCAGGTGATTCTAAGTGCCCAGACTCCCTCCAGTGACAAGAGCAAAATCAAACTGTAATAACAGCTCTTCCCTGCTTCCTTTTAAATGCTTGTGAGGGTAAGAAAGAGCAAGGGCCAGAGTGAGGCAGGCAGGACAGGACCCATCTGCTTCCTAATTTGTAGAGAGTATAGCCAGAGCTTTGCTTCTCATTATGCTCCCCATGGCAGCTTATTTAGCCCCATGAGGACTATTTTATCATATCCCTTCCACCTAGTTCATCATATCACTGGTCAATCTGCACCCAGAGGGTGCTAAGGGGGGGGGAAAAAAAAAAAAATAAATCAACAACCAAAACCCCTCAACCCCAAAATTATTTTGGCCTCAAAGTCATCACACAAGGGAAATTTCAAGCCCCATACTGCATTGTGAAATTCAGATGCTCAAAGCATTCCTAATGAGCATGGCTGTACTGAGCTGAGCCTCCGAAGCCTTCTTCTAACCTCTGGTGGCTTCAGATGCCCAGGTAACCAACAAGTGCCTTCCCAGGGGCTCAGCATAAACTACAGGTGCTGTAACTTCTCTAGCACACACTCAGACCCCACAGCCACAGTCATGCAGACACGGTGCTCATGGTTCCCCTTCTTCACAGAACACAATACTTAGAGCATTTGCTAAGGTCAGCTACTAAGTGCAAAGTCTAACTTGACTTTCAAACCATTCGAACCGCCATCTCTGCCTCGCCCAGGGGTGACTTAACTCCCAGAACAGACAGCTACTGGACATCTCTATAGTGGAAAAAACTCAATTGAGTGTGACCCGTAGCTCTTGAAATTTCAAAGGCCCCAAATTCTTCAGCTCTTTATGGGTTTGAATGACAGCTGTTTGGTGTAAAAGATTAAATAGGAAGTCCTTCAGCTAAATTTCTGACCCCTGATGATTTAAACCCTACTTGAAAGTGGTGGATGCATATTTGGAGTCAAATTAAAATTCATTGCCATTGTCTCAAGTCAGGCAATTGGTGCCTCACTTTTCTTGAGGAAGTTATACCTTTCCCAGCCTGCATGTTCTGAAATCTGAACAAAATGATGGAAGCTGCACAAGAAATACAGGGACACAGGAAAATTAAAAAAAAAAAAAAATCACAAAGGTTGGTTTTTTTTTCTTAGAAATATATTTTGTAAGAAAACATTAATATTAAACAGAAATGTTTATTATACAGTATAAAATAATTGCTTGAATTCAACTCAGTTCCTTACAGCAACAAAATAAACAAAAGCCTGAGGATTTGTATGAAGCCTCAATTCCCACAGATTTGTGTCTTTTGCCTTCTCTGATTTCTACCACATTAAAGAGCATGTTATCCTCACATCATTCTTAGAGCACACAAATGCTCCTAAAAACCTCACCCATTCCTTTCCCATTAAGTTAATGATCCCTACCCAGATGTGTTCTAAACATCACCTGTAGTATTTGCAGCTCTCTGCTGTGTCCCCCACACCCACCCTCAGATTCCATCCACCTACCTCTTTTGGCCAAGCAACTACGCAAGCGACACCACATATTGCAGCTAGCTAGGAGTCTCCCTCTATTAATTTGTTGGCTAATATGAACAGTGGCCAGCCACTGACAAATACTGTGTAACGGCCGAGTTGTTCTCAGCTGTCTGTTCTCATAAAACCTGTAAGAACACCTCTTCACACCGCTGTTCACCTGCCAAACCTGGCAAAGGCGTGCAGAGTTTTAAAAGCTAGAAGGGGAGACAAGGACAGGCAAAGCAATGACATAAGGTTCAAAATAAGCTAAAAATGTCATTACTCAACTGCAGAATTTACAACTTGCAAATTTTCTTGTAGGAAAATATGCCTGTTCAGTAACTATAAATACCCCTAATGCATTTATGTGGCTTAATATGTATTAATTTCTTATTTTTTGTAGGCAATGCCAGCTTTGTTATGTCAATTACCCTGCAGGTTTGAAAGGTGCCCAGTGACCAGCATTTTGGTGTAATTATTCATGACATTGGTGTGATTCTCCCCCTCCCAGTAATACTGACAAGTTTAACAGAAATCTATTAAGTTAAAAAGAACAAAGGTATATATTACATTTGCTAATTGCAAACAACCTCTTTTAGCTGCAATTTTTCCCATTGGGATTAAAAAGTGCACCAGTTTAACATGTCTGTACATTAAAAACAGTTTAAAACATTAAATATACAAACAGCAAGAGATTTTAAATATTTTGTATCAAATACTATAGGACAATATAATTTACAATTTTTTTTTATACAAAACATTACACCTGAAATATAACTTTAGATATTACAGAATATAAAAATACATACTTTTCGTTTAAAAAAATGTCTTTGCAGATTCTGGCACAATGTAATACTTTAAAGGCACACTGTATTTTGGCAATCTATATTTGCAATTAACTGTGCATCAATAATAAAAATGACCTGTAATTAACCTTTTAATCAGGTAAAGACTTAGGCTGAACTGTTTAGGTGTTCTGCAACTCATTTCTGCCACAGCCTGAGCCCTCCAACCCTAATCCAGCAAAGAACAGGCTTAACTAAGCATGTGAAAAGCCACATCAAATGCAATGGGATTAGTCACACTTTCATAATCTTTGCCATTCCAGGGTCAGAATGCTCAACCACAAGGCAAGTTGGGAGCCAAGTTCTGTCCTCTCCTGCGTTTGTGCCAAAATGAATAAGAGTAGCACAGGTTAAAGAGTTAGGGCAGAACTTGGAAGCAGAAGTTCAATAACAATTGCTCTGATTTCAACTACACAAATGCAAAAGTCATAATGACTCTACTGAAGCCAGTGGAGACATATGAAGTAAAATGGCTGTAAGAGCGAATCAGGAGAATTATGTGATTTTGTCCTTCTATGCATTTGTGGGACTCCTGGTGGAGTCAGCATAGGGCAAAACATGTCTTTAGATAGATATGGCTTATAGAGATGGAACTGGGTTGCAAAAGATTTTCAGTTCTGTCTTCAGGTTGTTTCTGGACGACCGAAAACTCAATTTTCAGCACACTGAGAAAAGATTTAGTCTAAATCCCTAACTTTAAATGCCCCAAAATAAGTTGCTTCTTGTGATGAATCCAGTAGCAATGGATTCGATACCTGGATACTTATCATTTCACCAGATTTTAATTTAAAAAACCCTCCTATATTTACAGAATAAAAATGAAATTCTGAATTCCCTGACCAGTATTTGGTGCTTCCTCCCTTCATCAAAACATCAGAGCGCCTTATTTTAAGGTTTGTCTTCGTCATATATACCATCAGCTGGAGCCCTCTTTTAGTCAGGTTTCCTGAAGTTTCATGATGTCTAAAACAAATGTTGGCATAAAGGTAGTAAAAGCCATCTTGATTTACAGTCAGCTTTCCATCTTTGAATGTCATATTTGATAAGTTTGCCTGGCCTTTGTCATGATGCCAGGACGTGAGGTTCACTTTGCGAGTTCCTAAAGAGGGGAGAAAAAAAGAAGTTATTTAACAAACCCCAATATTTCAGAAAGCAACCTCTGGGGTTCTAGAATCAATAGCAACTACAGTTACATAGGCTAAAGTTAATATTAGACAATTATAATAATTCATTAATTTCATTTTTTCATCATGTACTGCCATATTTGGTTTGTCGTTTATAACTGTCTGTCCTCCCACCAGAACGATTGCTGGACCATCATACAAAGCACTTGTTTGGCCAATAGTCCGATGATGCTAAGCAATCATGCAACAAGCTCTGTATAGAAACTGCATTCCACCTAAAACTTTAATTCAAGTAACAAATACTTGAGAGGAATCTGAAAAATTACTCATGATAAAACAGCAAATCTTATTATTAGTCTTTAACCTGTAAGTGTTTGCAAGGAGTAACTAAAGAAAATCTGAAACCATGTTGAACTGATAATTACTTTCATAAACTTATGAAACCTTCCTATACGCTATGTTCTTGTGACTGTAGTGGCACAAAGGTAAACGTAATTTCATTTGAGAACACCAAAAACAATGGGGAAAGAAAACAGTGCAATTGTGCATTTTTAGTACTACACAATAAGCTACCTAGACTTCAGATAATACTTCAACAATTTATTACATAACAAACCTTTTTATGCAAAGCCAGTATTTAGACTTAACTTAGTGCTTGCATGTATCAGAAAAAGGCTCCACAATTAGCATAATCTTAATTCTTTGATAATTGTACAAATACAGTAGTAGTTGGTCAATTACAGCTATTTGGGAGGTAAACTCAGATTCTTTGCCTAACATGTAGTAGAAGGTCTTCGAAAAAAAGCTTTAGGAAGACACATGAGCCTCTGGATGCATTGCACTTTTTTTCCTTTTCTTATTTTTATTTGTTCTGAAGTATCTTAATTTTCAAACTACAAACAGTGAGCTGATGTTCCAGGCTTGGAAGGGAACAGTCAGGTTCCAGTTGATTTAAACTGAAGATCCACAGATTAGGAAAGAAAATGATGATGTTCTTTGTCTCACCATAGAGCATCATGCATGCGGGAATCAAAATACATGCGCAAGTGTCACCAAATCCAACTACCAAAAAAGGCAGATTAATAGAATTAATATACTCAAACAAGCATTATTGAATTCTTTCTAACAAGTTGTCCTGGGTTCAGCAGTAGCAGCCATTTTCCTCCTTAGTAGCTGGTGCAGTGCTGTGTTTTTGACTTTCAGCCTGGGAACAGCGCTGATAACACCGATGTTTTTAGTTGTTGCTCAGTAATGTTTACTCTGACCAAGGCCTTTCTCAGTCTCATGCTCTGCCAGGGAGGAGAGGAAGCCGTGAGGAAGCAAAGACAGGACACCTGACCCAAACTAGCCAAAGAGGTATTCCATACCACAGCACGTCATGCTCAGTATATAAACTGGGGGCAGTTACCTGGAAGGGTTAGATCACTGCTCAGGTCAGGCTAGGTATCGATTGGCGGGTGGTGAGCTGTTGTATTCTCTTCCCTTGTTATTTCCCTTATTATTATTATTGGTGGTAGCAGCAGTGATTTGTGTTATACCTTAGTTACTGGACTGTTCTTATCTCAACCTGTGGGAGTTACATTATTTCGATGCTCCTCCCCATCACTCCGGGAGCAGGAGAGGAAAGGGGGGGGAGTGAGCAAGCAGCTGTGTGGTTCTGGGTTGCCGTCTGGGCTTAAACCAGGACACAGGTACACTTAAGCCTTTTTAGCTCTGCCTGCATGACGGTGGCCTGGTAAACAGGAAGCTGTTCCTTATCTGTTGATTGAATGCTTTGTGAAGACAACAAAAAGGAGCTGAGAGACAGGAGATGTTTTGATTAGTTTGGAAGCTTATCACTGTATCTGAAAGCTAACTTCACACATACAGGTACAAATGTCCACCACAACTCTGGCCTAAAAGGCACTTCCTGGATACTGTCATCAAATAGTCACATTTGTATCATCACTTGGAGATTTGAAGCTGGTCAAATCTCAGATGTCATTTCAAAGAGATCCTGTGCAGTTCTGGTGTCCTCAACATAAAAAGGATATGGGACTGCTGGAACAAGTCCAGAGGAGGGCCACAAGGATGATCAGGGGATGAGGGGGTAATGGAGAGGGACTCATCATGTAGTAGGAGGGCAAGGGGTAATGGGTTCAAACTTAAACAGGGAAAGTTTAGATTGGATATAAGGAGGACGTTCTTTACTGTAAGGGTGGTGAGGCACTGGAATGGGTTGTCCAGGGAAGCTGTGAATGCTTCATCCCTGGCAGTGTTCAAGGCCAGGTTGGACAAAGCCTTGGGTGATATGGTTTAGTGTGAGGTGTCCCTACCCACAGCAGGGGGGTTGGAACTAGATGATCTTAAGGTCCTTTCCAACCCTAACTTTTCTATGATTCTACTATTGAGGCTGTGCTAAAAAACTGTCTGGCAGCAAGTTAGATAGGTACTGGAAGAGAGCATGAGTCTTCCTCCCAAACATGGTCACATTTGACACTTCAGATTGGTTTTGGTGGCACAGAGTTATGCAATAGCCTGCAACACCGGCCCAGATACCATTACTAGTACAGCACATGCATTATGCAGAAGTTCATCACAATGTTTTCTGTTGAGGAGCATGCCCTACAGCACAAATTCCACAGTCCCTTCCACCTCCCCAGGAGAATAAGCAACAGTGGGATAAGAAGATCCAGGCAAGGCCCAAGGGCAAGCTCATACAGAGGAAACACCACCGTCATGAGAAAGCCAAGCAGGCCCTAACCCTTCCTGGTACGCACAAGGCACTGACACTACTATTTATTTGGTGTAACACACTGGGTGTAACACAACAGATGAGAGTTGGCGAACTTGTCCTCCTATAAAATAGCAATTTTCAGTACAGAAGACTAACTCCATTTGCTCCTTCCCACAAAAATGTGTACACACAGGCACAGGAGGACCTTGCACCTTTGACTCTCAGTGCCTCTAAAAGCTTGTTTGGAATATTCAATACTGTATTCTCACAATATTAAACCAAAATTATCTATTCCTTCCAAACCTTCCATGGCACATGTCAGGGAGCAGTGCTCTCTCCTTCAGGTATGTATCAAGGCATACTCCAGAACCACAAGTGCTCACAAGCATGCTGGGGAAATGCCCCAGATATGTTTGATTAGTTAAAAAGATGCCTCTTGGATTTATCTGTGCAGAAATAAGTGAGGGGAATTAGAGACAGGAGAATTTCAGAGCTATGAGTCCTCCCTCACCACCAAGGGGAAGCAAGTTTTGCATGTGAGAGGAATACTTCAATAGTCCAGAACAAAAAGCTGCTGGCATTCTTACACAAAGACTTGAGCAAAGCACAAGCTGTCAAAAGCAAATGATAAATAGTTACTCTCCCATGGCTCCAGTGCAGCCAGGTAGAAATAATACAAGCCTTCTTCCATGCAGTGCCTCAAAAAAGCCTCTGAAAACCATCAATTAATTGGAAGTGACACTAAGAACTTAAAACTCTTAGCCCAGAATTATTCACTTGCAAGAGATGCTGAGCTAGGGCTGCAAGAGTACACCTCTGAAGCACTGGGAACACCTGAGGAACTTACAGAACTTCTTGTGCAGTGTTAAGTCTGCCAGAAATACTGCCCCAGGGAGGTTGTGCTACCTTCAAGGTGAGGAGGACAGGCAAGAAACCACTACCTGGATCAGATGAAGGGCACATCAGAGAAATGGGACAGGGATGTATATATATACGATGGAACAGAAAGGAATACTGGTATGTTATGACTGACTGGTAGCACACCTAGTAGCTGCTAGGCAGATTTTATTTAAACTTTTAAGTTGCCAGTATTAATCAAGTAGCAATTTTGAAGAAATCCTTAGTGGGAATGCACAATTTTCTGTTGAAGAAGGGGGAAAAGAGAAAATAGGTAACACAGTCACTTGTAATTGAGATTCTGAGAGGGACTCTGGGGGAAGTTTGTTCACATTTCTTTGGTGTTAAGGGGAATATGCATCATTCAGCCATGGTTAGGTGCTAGGGACAGGCCAAGAGATGATGGAATGTGATGCTGACTGTTCTGACCCTATTTGGTTTCAGCCTAGGTAACTTCTGGAAGTCCCAACATAAATTACAGTGCTATGTTTGTATTAACTGAGGCAGATGGGCATTTTGCCACAATTCACAGCTTCAGAAGAGGCATGCCACAGCCAGTAGCACAGCACAAAGATGTACTGGTGGGAGTTATGCCATGCAACTTTCAATGGAAGGAGCGAGCAGGCTCTCAACAGTTCTGGTGGTTAATACACCTAAATTTAGAGGCACCAAAACAATTAGTACCCCAGAACACAGGCAGAGGAGAAAAGCAGAGCATACAAGTGCCAAGTCAGTTGTCCATGTATCAGAAACTCTGAAACACAATCCAAGCCATGGGACAGTCAGAAATGCTGCAGTACAGTATCTTCTGTGATAAAATTTACTACGGAGCCATGAAAAAAAAAGCATAAGGTAAGTCACATTAACAGAGAAGGAAGAGGTCAGGCAGATAATGAGTAAAATAACCTTCCAAGTATGGTAAAAAGCATTATAAAAAAGATGAGATAATACACAGGCTTTCTGGTAACTGAAGACAAATCAAAACGATGTCTTGTATGTTTGTGAGCATGAACTAAGAGTAATACAAATGAGCATCTATAAAATTCATTAGTAAGAAGGAAAATTATAGTAGGGAAACAGAGGAGAAAGTAGCCCTGTACATCCCAGCAGCTTTCAGGTATAAATAAAACCTGAGGGAAGGACCAAAGCACTATTTGCTCTGAAAAACTGCTTTGGAGGCAAAGGGCAGTTAAGCTGAACCTGAAGGTGTAAATAGCTCAGAATACTACAGTGTTTCTTTAGACATCTAAAGGTATCAATTCACATCCCAAAGATATATTTAACATTTACTTCTGTTTGTGATTTTCTCCTTTAAACTGTGACTAATTTCTGTAATCAATTTATAAACCAAAATTCACCGTTTTCATTTAAAACCTAGGTATCATTTATAGTGAGCTCTGGTAAAATCCAACCAGCAAGCATACAGCTTTAACCTAAGACAGCAAACCAAAAAAATACACAAAGCGAGCCAAACCACTATGGCTTCTGCATCCAAATGATGGGTGGGGACATCAAGATCTGGGAAGGGTTATTTTCCCCCTCTCTTGCACCCACCCCCCCACCCCCCCCTCCCCCCCCCAGCTGCAATAGTCTATTTGGGGCTTGATGATATTGTGAACCAGGTAAAAGGAACATGTTCTCTCACAGACACTGCTCAGTGCCCTCTCAAGAAGGGCATTCAGTGGCAAAGTCTTAAAATAAAAACCTGTTTGACAGTGATAAAGACTGATTACTTTTTTTGTCCTTACATTGCTTAGTAAAGAACCTTAAAATACTAAGAACAGATCTTTCCAGACTCATGGATGGCCTAAAATATTTTAGAAAGATTTCAGACATGTAGGTTTAGGAATCAGGGGAAGAACACAAAGTACAGTCAGAGGAAACAGGATGAAAGAGAAAAAATCCCAGTGACCCTCAGGCAAATTCTTCATCCTTTATGCCTGTCATTATCCCCTATGCCACACACCCAAGTGGGTAGTGCCTCATACTAGTGAGCATGACACTAATGTGTCTCATGACCAGTAGGTTCAGGGGCCCAGCTATCCATAAGAATCCAGCCCCTCACTGCTGCAATGCCCACAAGGACCGCAGAAGATGTGCTCATGTAACATCCTGGGCTCTTCCAAAAGAGGCAGAAGCCATTATGTGCCAGATCAATGGGAAGTATGTCCAACTCATCACATTGGTAAGGAGCTGAACTGCTCCAAGGAGAAACAAAGCACCTTGTTGTCATAGGCACTGTATTTCTGTGCTATCAAAAAACAGTAAATGAAGAAAGAAAAAGCAATGTCTCTCTTGTGATTACCCTCAGATGTGCTACATCACTTCCTTGAAGGTTAATGCAATGATGCACAACAGTAAAAATTATCAGCTGCTATCCCTGATAAAAATACAATTTACAGCAACATCCAGGTAGACAGCAAATAAATTCCCCACAGGAATTTCATGAAGTGTGACACTGATACAGTCCACATCTGTAAATGTAAGTGATCTGTCTCTATGATTAGCAAATTAATTGAATCCTTCCAAAGACAAAAATGCTAAGATAAGTTCACTGATACTGCATCTTCTACTATTGACTTATGCCAAAAACCAAAATCTGACCGAAACAGAAGCTGGTCAGCAAGCATTTGGGCTGATAAGAAAGCTTGTAGAAGTTGTGACTGCCATCTTACAAGCTGCTCAAGCTCTCTGCTTATAAACCTGTCAATCTTGGCAATTGCAATACACTCAAAGAGAGAAAGAATCCTACCCCTATAGGCAAGAAACTGTGAAGAAGTGGTTTGTCTTTAAATAGCGCAAGAGCAAGGTATTACTGTGCACACTGCTGAAATCTCAGATTTCAAGCCTCAACACAGCATTCCCCTTCACTTTGGTTACATAAAACAGAAAAGCAAAGCACAGAGCTTAATTAGCAAGGAGTTCTGCAGAATGTACACAGCTTCAGAGGAAGACAGTGGTGATCAATGTCCCCTCATATCTTGAGGCCCTCTGTCTGATAGCTTCAGAAAAATATCCTGGCTTACTTCTACCACACCAGTGATGACTGTTGTGTTGAGATACAGAGAGAAAAATCTCTACTGACAGTGCCCCAGGGCAAAAGAGGAAACTGTACTAAAATATCTTAAAATTGTAGGATTGAATCTTTTCCTCTGGAGAGTGTTCTAAGGCAAACTCATGTCCCATTCCCTCATATTGTACTAGCAAAAATATTCCCAAAGCCATCCAAAGATACCTATGGGTAGAGAATACAAGCTCTGGCAAGATAAAAGAATGCCATTCTCTTACTATAGGGGCAGATAAAAGCCACAGGAACATATTTCCACCTACTCAATAGCTCAGAAACATACTGCATCCAAGTCCACACACTGACAAGAAACCCTGTTGCTCAGAGTACAAGGTTAGGACCTTTGATCTTCTTGCTACTAGACTAGGCAGATGCAGACAGACCCTTGTGAAGCTTTGGCATGTCTGAACATCAGGAAGGCCCTTGGAGTCTTTATGGGAAAAAGTCTATAGCAGCCCTGTGACAATGAATGGAATATAACAAACCTTTTCAATATGCCATTAACACTTGCTGTAAATTCAGCCATATGCTGTGAGTCCAATGTACCCACAGAGGGCAGGGAACTTGCAGGCAAGTTACTATAATGACATTGGGACTGCAGTTCTAGGCTTTTTAACACCTCAAAATAAGAGATGTGCTTCCCTTATGGCAAGTTTTTCCAGTGACAGGCAGCTGACATGCCTATGTGTTGTACATTCAGACAAGATTCTGAACCTCCAGGTCTACCCTAAAGACGAATGTTGCATCACTCAGTACAGACCTGATTACACTTCAGCACACAAAAGGAGGGTTGCTATGAAGGACTGAATAGGTGGACATAAGACATTCTGGAATTTCACAACAGAAGGCAACAAGTTTCTTTATCTGACAACAGGACCAAAAAAATCTTGGACTCAATGGAAGGGAAACACCTTCCAAGCTGCAAGACCTGGATTCTGGCCGATCTTTGTGCTGTGTATGTATGCATACATACATGTGTATATATACCTATAGCTGATGTCCAGTGTGAGTGAAGAACTCCAGATGGTCCCTACTAACCAAAGAAAATAAGAAATATCAGAGAAAAATATTCAGTGCATACTTTTATTCCTCACCTGAAGACAGCACAAAGAGGCAGGCCAAGCCCTCAGAGCTTGATCATGAAAACTGGTCATTTGAAATAGAGGCCATTCAGCACACAAGAGACTGATACAAGAGACCCAAGGCAAATGGGAGCTATCCTACTGTTAGCATTACCCCTGCTACCTCCAAAAGTCTAGCACATCAATTTATTCTCATTATCAAAAATAATTTGTGAAATTCCAGTTTGTTGCAGGTATTGCTGAATTGTTTTCATATTACTTCACTGTTCAATACATTTATGGTAGCATTGGAAGCATATTCACTTAAAGCATATTCATGCTTTTCATTAAAGCATATGGTAGCATTGAAGCATATTCACTTAAAACTGAACTCACCAGAGGGAATATTCTTATCATCAATAATGAGATGGGCAAATGGCTGCTTCTCAGGTTTGTTTCTCTTGTACAGATCCATTCCTAATGCCTCCATTGCAGCTAGAGATAAAAGAATTTCATTACTTCAGAAAGACAAGTTAAGTAGAAGTAAAATATTTCTTATTCATAAACCAGCACATACCTTTCTCTGGTCTTAGTGGTGCTCTTCCCCTGACACGCAGGACTTCCTAAAATGAGAAAGAACCATAGCTTTGATACTGTCTTGGTTTTGTAATACTGCATATTGCAGATAGCTTGCACAACTGCAACACTCTCTGTGCATGTTCTACTAACAGTATTCAGATGCCAGGGATACACATTCTCATCTTTACATGATGTATAATATAAGCACACGGATTAGCTGCCACAATCAAATTACTTGTTCTGTTCCATACTTCTGATAAAGCTGGATAGGAATGATGGTGTGTATAATCACTGCAGTATTTATTGAAGTAGTACTGACAGGACATTGACAACCTTTCTTACTTATTGCACTTAGGATACTTCTCTGACTGGTAAGAATGCAACACATAAAACAACGGACTTTACGAACTGACTTAAATGCTTGGGATCAAAAATGTCATGAAAGAGGCATTTCTGCATAGGGACTGGTGTGTAATCACACAACTACGGAAAGCTAAGCTCTGAATTTTATTTGTGATGAGATAAATGAAAACCTCCAACCCTCACACTTGACCACTAGCAAGGATGGTTCAAAGACTACAAGGCTTTATAGTCATGGCACTTCTAAAAAGGTATGCAGGAACCAAAGGATTAAGCATCGTCTGTATCTGTTAATGGGACAAAGAGACAGGGTGCCAGAGTACATTTTTCAAAACTGCAGATGAGTTTTAATATGAATGAAACCCATGCTACCCAAAACCAAGAACAGCACAAGTAACAGACAACAGGCACCACAAAAAGCCTTGCTTTTAGTAATCCAAAACTGTTTCCTCTTGAGAAAACAAACAGCACTTCCCAAAAATCTAAGCATGCTGTTGTTACAAGCACAGACTGAATCTTGGTAATATTAAGTTCAATCCTCAGTTGTCCTGTTTCTTCATGATTCTCTTCATCTCTGTTTTCTAAATAACAGTGCTAATATTATACTTACTATGCAGAATACCTCATACCATGGAGCCATCAAGAAGATGTTCGGTAAAAGGAAACATTTTGCTGAAGATAGCAAATCATATTATTGAAACCTAAAAATGGTCCTTTGTTTTTGTCTTTATGTCAAACGTATTGCTGTTTGTCTGATTCAATACCATATGTATGCAATATGCCTCAGATTTGGACAGATCAGCAATGTTCCACTGCGCTCTCAAACACTGCTGTGTTTTAGAGTTTGAAATCCTGCTCTGAAAACACCTAAAGTCTTGCTTTTATGTAATTTTGCAGCCACAGTGAAACCTGTAATGCCTTCACCGGTGCATTTATTACTCTCACTTTCCCCTTTCAGTAGGTGTTTAAATGTTAAACCAAAATGAAAAGCCACAGCAGTATGGAAGTTGTACTATGACTATCAAAGCATAATATTTCAGCAGAGAGGGCTGATTTTATAGATAAGAATCATTAATACGCTTTCTGCTGTAGAGATGAGAAGAAAAGCAGAAGAAACTCAACTTCAAAAGAAGCAAAACTCACATCCACCTACCCCATTTACATTCACTTTCCCTCTCTGATCTTCCTACTGCAATGTCAGTTCTAGGAGGATGAAAATGAAGCTCAGTTCTCGGAGCTGCATACCAGCATCAGCCTCTAGCCACACTAGAGCTCTTTCACTTCATCAGATGTAGGAAGACGACAAAAAATTGCAAATGTACGTACTGCAAAAAGTGGCAAAAGCCTTTGACAAGAATAGGAAAAAGTAAAAGAGATGGGGAGATGAACCACACTCTCAGAGATTACTGCACCACGCCTATTCCCAATCCCTTCCCTAGAAAGGGAAGACTCCTTTGTTTTCTCACTTAATGGAAACATCTCAAGATGTGGAGTCTGCTTTTGTATCCTTTACTTCTGGGGGATGTGATAATGTCCTTGCCTGGAGAGCCTACTGGGCAGATGCAAAAAGAGCTATGTACATTTTAATCTCTTCTACCTAAACTGGTACTAAAAAAAAAAAAAAATCTCCTGGTTGGTAACTGCACAGCCCTTGAAGTTCCTGAACTGGCCAATGACTGTCTTCCTCCTAACCTACATGTCGTGGTTTAAACCCAGTCAGGTAACTCGTTCACTCACTCCCCCCCCCTTCTTTCCCTCCTCCTACTCCCGGAGGGACGGAGAGGAGAATCGAAAAGAATGCAACTCCCACGGGTTGAGATAAGAACAGTTTAGTAACTAAGGTATAACACAGATCACTACTGCTACCACCAATGATAGTAATGATAAAGGAAATAACAAGGGAAGAGAGTACAACACCTCAGCACCAGCCGACCAATAACTTGCCCCCCTCAGCCTGACCAAGCACCGACCGATACCTCCTCCAACCCTGCAGTCTCCCAGCCCTTCTGGCTCACTCCCAGTTACATCCTGGGCATGACGTGCTGTGGTATGGAATACCTCTTTGGTCAGTTTGGGTCAGGTGTCCTGTCTCTGCTTCCTCCCGGCTTCCCCTCCTCCCTGGCAGAGCATGAGGCTCACAAAGTCCTTGGCCAAACCAAAACATCGCTATCAGTTCTGTTCCCAGGCCGAAAGTCAAAACACTGCACTGCACCAGCTACCAAGAAGGAGAAAAATGACTGCTACTGCTGAACCCAGGACACTACATTTTTATTAGGAGTATAGAGTTCTGCTTCTGCACATTTCCAAAGATGCTTTAGCTTAAGCAGCTTTGTACCTCACCTGAGATCTAGCAGTGTGACTCAGCTTATCTTTCACATGGAAAGGCTGTGGTCCTCATGAAATGCAGCCTGAGCTGCTTTTTTTCTCACTGCTGGTGGTGTTGTTCATCTGCAACATCATTGGTAAGCAGAACAGCTACCAGGAAAAATTTGAGTCCACAACTCTCCTTTGTCCTGATGGTCTTGAGCCTACTTTCCCATCCCCTGAGAGCATTTCCCTCTGCCAGGAACACTCTCCTGTAGTAGTTATGCTACTGTGCAATTAGGAATGCAAGAAGCATCATTACAACAAAAGACAGATTATAAGCATAAACCCAACACTAACACGTTGAGAAGAGCTGGAGGCTGGCTTATGTTCATAGACTCTTGTGTATGCTTGCCATTGGATTAGAAGCGGCCAGCCTGTGACCAGAAAACAGAAATCCTCCATCAGTTCTCCAAACACTGTACTATTGTGAAGTTCTTTACTTTATTCTCACCAGCCCCGCAGAATTTTCATATTCATTTCTGTTCTGTTGCCCAGGCTTCCAGAAGGAAGATGAAATACATGAACTATTCCCTAGATAACAGAAATGGAGCTGCGGGTTTCCTCCTGAGGAGTCAGTAGTTCAGCACTTCTCTTGATATTTTATTTAATGGTCCTACAGTTCCAAATAGCTTACATACAACCTACCTTAGAAAAGCATTTCAGCATGTACTTGATTTTGACCCTGAAGAACACTTAATCACAATGCACACTACCATTAAGAAAGCAGAAACAGCTCAATAGAACCTGTCATTAAGACACTGCTATAATGGAATGAGAACTGCTGACAAAACAGCCAGTGACTTCTCTTAAGACTGCCACCCACAGAAGCATATTTGCTATGAAGCTGTTGAGTTATTTTTAGCAAACTGTACACAAAAAAAAAAATCACACCACTTTGTTAGTCTTATGATAAGCTGCACTTGCACACCTTTGCGTCACTTACTTACTGTCCACCAAGTCAACTCTGCTGGGCTGCTTCCCACATTCCAACCTCCTTCATACAGTCACTGTTTAAACACCAGACAAGCAGCCAGTCACAGAAATGAAAATCCTTCAATCAAAAATTTTAAGAAGCCATTGGGAAGCTGCAAAACTTTCACATTTTAAAAACTAGAATCATACATTAAGTGCCTGGAACGTTGGGAACTGCTGTTTCTTCATCCACAATGGGGTGCGGGTTTTAACCCTTAGCATCTCACAGCATCTTCAAACCAAAAACATCTCTTGCTCTTTAAGTTATGTCCAATGTGGAAGATGCAGAGACAAGGCTACATTTGAACGTGACATTTGTGAATGTTTTTTCCTCTCTTTTGCTTTTACAATATCTCAGTATCTACTTTGAGCGGCTACAGTAGCCTTTTGAGACCAATCAGAAGAGAACCCCTCTGGAAATTCATGTCCTACTTCAGCTGCGATCTCAAAGCTCCTTCATGCAATTCTTTCTTCTACTACCTGACTGCTTTAAGTTGAGCTAATACCAGGGAGAAGTATCTGATTAACTTGCCAGAAATTCAGCAATATGAAGAATGCTAATCAGGAAGGAAGTGAAATAGAAAGGACATGAACCAGTATTCATGAGAAGATAGTTTAGAGATCAGCACTACAACCTCTATTCAAATGCGTAGTCTATTTCCTGCTGAGAAAAAATGAAAAAAAAAAAAAGGCATGTAAGGTTGTAGGATGGAAACTGTGAAATTTTAACAACTTAGAGCAATCACACATGAAACTGACTTTGTCCATAACTACAAGCACTTTAAACGTCTGCTAAATATATAGATCTCTTTAGAAGTGCTGCCCTGGAGGTCTAGCAAAGTAGTCTGCTGCTATGTGGGAGACTAATTTACGCTTGAACTCCCCAAGCTGCTAGAAGCTGGGAGCACTGCCAAGGAAAGTTACTTATGAATTGACCCAAGATATGTTTGTAGTCCTTTCTAATTCAGGCTCATAACAGGCTTTGTAAGAACTGTGGTTAGTGCATCTGGACTGCTAAAAGGTTTTTAGGGTTACATGCAAAACAAATTAAGCAAACAGACAGACTAGGGCAGTTTATTATTCGTCTGTTTAAAAGTTTATATGCAATATTGAAAATGTGCTTTCTACTGAGTCAGCTGCTCCGTAAGCAATATTTTTATCCTGGAATATGTTAAGGAGTTCACCATTAGATGTTTACTGAAAGAAAAAAATCTTTATTATTTTTCATGAGACAAACATTTCTAGACAGGGCCTTGCAGCCATACTACACTGGTTTTCATAAGAGCACTTTCATTTTCAACAACAATCCCTGCTTTAGATTTAAGCACTAGGTCTACAGGTGTGGAAAGAAAAGAGATGAGAACCACTGTAGTAAGCTTAAAGCTGTAACCAGACCATAAACCTGAGCAAAAGCAAGTTGTCTGTTTTCATTTCCTGAACAGCCTGAATTGCAAAAGACAAAATACTGAAAAATCACAAAACGTAACACATCAAATGTTCTATTTCAGTCACTTCACAAGCTGCCAATTCAAATAAGTATACTGGTTCTTAAAACACACCCAGGTTAGATTTGCCTTCAGGAATGTGAAGAAAGCACAGAAGATAGGGAACCTCTTTCAAGTCACATTAGCCACATTCCCACACATAAAGGACTACCGCAACTGGAAGATTTGGCTGCTTCTCTGCCCTTCATTGTAGGAGAGCTAACAGAACGTTATAAAGTAGAGCTTTGCATTTTGCTTTCACACTGTTTCTTTCAGTTCCTTTATGTACCAAAAAGATGCAAATGTAGCCCAGGCAAGCATCTTCCTATCTTAATTTTCTTCTGTGTCATCAATATCTGATGACAAAGCACCCAGAACACTGATGCAACTGCTTAATACATTCTACTGCATTCAAAGGAAATTTGGAGTCTGATTACTTTGGCAAGGGAAATTTTATTGTTCTCAAAATAATGGTCATCAGCCAAAAAGTTATCCCTACTCACTACTTATCTTGGCCACGGACACTGCAGCATTTAACCTCCATCCAGAACGGCAGGATATGCAGCCTCAGCTAAAGCAAATGCTTTTGTTGAGTAACCAGCAACAAACAGTCAGAATACAGGGCTTCCCATCTACTCACTGTAACGAGCTCCTTACTCTATCATGGGAGCCTCAAGAGCAAACAGCATGAAGAGCAGAATTAGGTATACTGTGAGAGTCTCCATAAAATGCTGGGGGAAAGAACTAATCCTACAGAGTTAACCCTTCCCCCCCCCATCCCCACCCTTAAGTTTTTAAAGGGGGTGGCTAGCAAAAGGGATAAGACATAGACTCCTAGGTTTCTTTTTATTCACAAAAAGTTTGTCACCCCAGGTAATCTGGTAAAAGCAAACACTGCATTAACACAATTGAAGTACTATATAATTAACTCGTGTACAATTCACTCTGCAAAGTGCTGTGAGTTCAGCTCAAGGTAATGGCCTCAAGTTGGTCCAGGGGAGGTTTAGATTGGGTATTAGGAAAAATTTCTTCACTGAGAGGGTGATAAGGCATTGGAATAGGCTGCCAAGGGAAGTGGTGGAGTCACCATCCCTGGAAGTGTTAAAAAGCCATGTAGATGAGGCCCTTAGTGACATGGGTCAGTGGTGGACTTGACAGTCTTGCGCTAATGGTTGGATTTCAAGATCTTAGGTTGATTCTATGATTCTATCATCCTCTACAAAAATCTGACAGTTGTATGCAGATGTGTCACTGAATGCAGATGTGAAGAAGTTGTAATGGGCCTGGTAAGCCAGGAAGACAAAATACCATAGCAGACATTTAGCTGCTAAATAGCCCATAATTAGCACCAAACCCTATTAGGAACATGCAAAGAGATCAAAGGCAACAACTGCAGTAAGAGTCGATTGTGACATACATACAGCTTGCCTAGGAAGGCTTCATCATTATGTGTGACTTCTTTAGCTGTCTGCTTTTGTTATTTGTTTGGGAACAAGCTGTTATTTTCAACTGCTGGGCAAAGACAGCCCAGTTACTGTTCTTTGCAAAGTAGCTCTTCTGCCAGCGTCGGAATGACCTGCACAGAACAGAGAACTGGCAAACTGAGAAAAAAAAAAGAAAAAGGAGATACTCATTTTGAGCTGCAGAAAAAGTAACAAGAGAAAATGACAGCAAATGTTACATCCTCTGTTTTTCAGGCAATATTTTGCTTGTCAATGATCTTGACTTGGGAGAATCTTGTCAGAAACGGTCAGGAAGACAGCTTTAAAAAAAGTGTGGAGCTGCCCTTTTTTATGAACATGTAAAGTATTGACAAATACATAGAAATATTAGGATAAATGACTACCATTTAGGCTCATTCGAATGTCAGAATGGCCAATCAACTAACTGCAACCACAGTTTTCTCAGCGCAGCTTCCAAGTCCTCCTTTCTTAAAACAAAAAACAAACAAGTAAACAAACAACCCAACAAAACCAAACAAAAAAGAAAAAAAAAAGGCAAAATCTTGCATGTGGCTTCAAGTATAATTCAAATACCAGAAAATGCTTTACAGAATTTACCTCCAAATAGAGTTGCTGGAAAAACTGTTTTAAGTTCAGCAAGAGCAGGAAATAAAGGAACACACAGTCTGTCTGCCACTTACCTTCTGCACAACTCTTTGGAGAGCTTGTTCCATGCTTCTACATGATTCTGGTATTAACTTTGCTTCTTGATTTTCAAAGGATGTATCATGCAAATCTGTATTTTCTAGATGACCAAAAAGTGTTCTAACACAGTGTGCGTGTTCTTTGGAAATTCTAGTAGGGTCCATCTGAAACAAAAATATAAGTACAACCACAGTTTTAAGTGTCTGTCCAAGAGACATCAAGGGCATTTAAGTCAGGGAGAACTTTCAACTATCTAAAAGTTTGAAACCTATTTAAGTTTATTATCTAAATTTTCATTGTGAACACTGAAGAGAGAAAAAGTTCCCCACATGAAGGTTCATTTCATCCAAAAAGCATGTGAGATAGAAGAATGAATTATCTTCTGGAGCTGCCTAGTTCGTTACCTTAGACTACTAGATATGTGCCTTTCAAAAGTCAAAGATAAATCCCAGCCTTACAGTAAAATCAATAAGCCGGAATTCCATTTTTCAGCCACTCAGGGCCATATCACATTTTAGCAGGCAACATGCACAACCATCCTATCTGTCAAAACTGTAGTTTGCAAGATGACACACAAATGCCAAGTAGACCAACTTGGGGAAAGTACGTACAACATCTAGCACATCATCTTCAAGAGGAGAAACAGAAGAATGGAAGTCAGTTATCACTGAAACTATTTTGTGGGCGTGCTGGTTTTGGCTGCTGTAGAGTTAATTTTCCTCACAGTAGCTGGTATGGGGCTGCATTTTGGATATGTGCTGAAAACAGTGTTGATAACACAGGGGTGTTTTTGTTATTGCTGAGCAGTGCTTACACAGAGCCAAAGCCTTTTCTGCTCCTCACAACATTTCACTAGCGACTTGGCTGGGGGTGCACAAGGAGTTGGAGAGGACACAGCCAGGACAATGGACCCCAGCTGACCAGAGGGATATCACATACCATATGGCACCACACTCAGCATGTAAAGCTGGGGGAAGAAGGAAAGTAGGGATGTCAAGAGTGATGGTGTTTGTCTTCCCAAGTAACTGCTATGCATGAGGGAGCCCTGCTTTCCTGGGGATGGCTGAACACCTGCCTCACCATGGGAAGTGGTGAATGACTTCCTTGTTTTGCTTTGCTTGTGTGCATGACTTCTGCTTTACCTGTTAAACTGTCTTTGTCTCAACCCACAATTTTTCTCACTTTTACTCTTCCAATTCTCTCCCCTGTCCCACTGGGAGGTGGTGCTTAGTGAGCAAGCAGCTGAGAAGTGCTTACTTGCTGGCTGGGGTTAAACCATGCCAGTGGGCAAGAGAGATTGCTGTGTGAAACAGTCACCAAATAAGACAGCACAAATTCAGAAAGACTGAAAGATGGTAAAGCTGTACCACAAAACACCTGTTTCGTGGGACAAAGACTGGTAAATATAGAATATCTGTGAGATATTTTTAGCTATCAGTCTTTGCAATTGAATCAAGTATACTTTTAAACTGTAAGTCTAGAATACTCCTGAACTCTATCAGTTTGATAAACTGGAAGGGTATTCCAAAGATTAGGATTGTGCTTTGGCAGAGTTTAATTGCATAAATATCGTTCAAACCATTTCACTCTCTCGTCCCACACTCAAAATTAACCACTGCCTTTCAGAGATGGCCTAAGACTCTCAGCAATTGTTCTCAACTTGTATTTATTCCACTTTTACTTCAGGATTGGAGAAGGGCTTGTGCACTCAAAACCTTGTCTGAATTCTCTATCAGCTGGTCTAATCAAGAGCATTTACTTCTATCTTTCTGCATAAGGTGGAACGAACAATTTTATCTGAATTACAAAATGTAATACATTATTTATAATCCCAATGAAGGAATGCCAAGACATTATGGATAGTGCCTCTCCAGTGTCCAGTTTCCTTTAACACAGCACTGTACAAAACAGAACATCAAAAGGAAGTTCTGCAGAATATAGAAGAGCCAGAGCGAATCAAACATGTTACATCATTTGTTCATATGAACACCAATTCAACTCCCTAACCCAAAAAAGAACTGAACTTGAAAGCATAAGGTTGGGATTACAGAGGCAAATTTAAACCTACAACAGCCAGGCAACCATCCAACCTGCACACGCTGCAGAGAAACATTTATTGCACAGATGGCAACACCAAATGCTGCCTCCTCCATCACCATCCTTCTGAACTCTCCAGATGAGAAGCGTTTGCCTAATTCATTCAGATCAACGCCAGCCTCCATGACCTGATTTAGCTGTCTCAGTTAATTTGCAGATTTGGAATGAAATGGGTCAGAAATGGTTCACCTGAAGATCTCACAGCTTTGAGTGGATGAGTTGAGATGAGTTACAGAATGGCTCAGAGGCATTCTGGGATGACACAGCTGAATACAAAAGGAAATCTGTATATAGCTAATACAGCTCTGTGAATTAAATACTAAAAACTACACTAATGATTTCTGAAGTCAGCTAGTGCAATACAGCCCCATTACCTGTTTAAAATTACCTAAATCAGCACCTCTGTGCTTTCACCTTCTTCACCACAAAACTTCATGCCTGATTCTCAATCTTCCCTTCTAAATAAATAATCTGGGAGAAATTTTTGCTGATCTAATTTCCTGACAGTTTTATACCATGAAAACAACTGCAGGTATAAGAGAAGCATCACAGCCAGTACAGGAACAAGCATAGGAATGAATGAATGAATGAATGAATGAATGAATGAATGAATGAATGAATGAATGAGCAAGATGACAGCACTAACTTTAACAACTGTAAGACTGCACCCTAAAAGCATCTCACTCACTATGTTCCACTAGCACCCAGAATTTAAAATTACTGTAAAATGAAAGAAAAAAATGAAGCACAAAATGTTTACCAACAGCTGCTAAAAGGCAGTTAATGTAGAATGCCCTGGGTCAGAAGGTATCTCTGGAGGTCTCTAGTCCAGCCCCATGCCTGAAGCAGGGCCAACTTGTTACTTAGATCATGTTGGTCAAGTCCTCATCTAGACAAGCTTTGTGAAATCTTAATTGATGGAGACTTTCAACCTCTTTGCAAACTGCCCTACAATTTAACCACTTCTACAGTGTAAAAACACTGGGTTTGATATCCAGCAAGAGTTCTCCTTACTGCAATTTATGATTGTGCCTCTCAGGTTTGCAGCACTCTTCTGAAGAGCCTGGCTTCATCCTCAGGTAGCCAAAACCAGTGATTAGCTTCCCTGACCTTAGTCTGTTCTTTGTTAGGTTCAAAAAATCCAGTTCTCCATTTGCAATACACTACGGGCCCTATGTATCACCGTCTTCTGCTGTGCTCTCTCTAGTTTGTTGGTATTCCTCTTATCCTGAGGAACTCAAGATCCATTATTTCAGATGTAGCCTCTTATGTTGGTGATATTGTTAGAGACAACAGACCACAGCAAATAACTGCCAGTAGAAACTAATTTTTTATCAGTAATTCTACGAGAGAGAGACTATAATCCCAGAGAAGTAGATCCCAGAAAAGTAGGTTTTACAATACAAAGATCATGAAATTTGTAAAGGCCTGAGTACCCAGCATAACAAATCATGTATAGCATACACTTACAGCTATCACCCGTCAGCAATCGGTCAAATGTGTCATACAACATTGTGCCAGAACAGTAACAGCAGACTGTGCAGAAGCACTTACTCTTATCTGCTGAAGACAGAACACTAGCATCTCTGCACCTACAGTTAAAAGACTGAAGGCTTCATGGAAACACTGTAACTGATAGATAGCTTCAGCAACTTGAAGCTGTGCAGCCCGCCATGACAAACTGCAAGTCTCTAGAGATCCAGTGTTTGATAAGGTGAAGCTCTGATCTTCGGACTAGCTAACCTACCAGATTGCTCTTACCATTTTCAGAGAATACCTGCTCTTCACCACATTTAACCATGGAAATTAGCTCACTTGTCTGAAAAGGGATTCTCAGAAATCCTGCATCTTTTATCTTTACAAAGAACATGCACTGAACTGCCATGGCTGCAAACAGACACCACCAAACACAGAGACCAAAAGTGTGGGCAAGAAGTAAGGCACAGAAAAAAAATTTCAAAGGCATGTTTTGAGAAGAACTCCCAAAGAGCCACATGAAATACCAGAATGGTCTACGAGCAGCAGCTTGCTACCTTGCAAGGCACACCTTCAGCAGGAAGTCCTAAAGATTTAATACCTGAAGAAACATCAAAATGCAATCAAAAGTACTGAAGAAAGCTTTCTAATGCATTAAGTAAACAAAATACCCTAGAGGAACTAACCTATTTAAAGAGAGGACTGCCTAGCTTATTTTTCCTATGTTACTACTGTGCATGCACCCGTTGTGTCTCACCTTGGAATCAGATCAAATCTTTCTGTGCCCCTTGATATTCAGTATCTCTCATCACTCTCACTGCATCTCTGGACTCTTTTTACCTAACTCAGCCAGCCATGAACAGCCAATGAACTCCAGCATTGTGGGTGAGACAAAATGAATTTACAGAGGAACCTGCCTTCCAATGTTAAAAAGATTCAGTTTGGTTTTAAAAGCCACAATACATTCCAGCCACCTTTACCTAAAGGTTACCGCAGTTACGCAGTGTTACAGTATCACATTCTGTACTTACTCTTTAAAATAAATGTTTAACTTTTAGACTTCCACTTATTTTCCAATTGAAACCAATTTCCATGTTATCAAATATAACTTTGCACTCCATAATCCTTCTTAACCACCAAGGAGTCCTTCAAAAGTGCTACTGGTCCCCAGCAAGCAGTTTTCTGCTAGACAGTGCTCTACAATGCTCACAAAACTTCAGATGGAGTCTTAAAGGTGGTTGTTTAAAAACAAGCTCTAATGAAAGTCAGAGTTCCACAGATGCATGAAAAGACAATAAAAATCTGACTTTCATGTCCCCACCTATCCAAGTGTGACTTCTTCAGTATGGCAGAATATTTAAGATTTGTTATGGGAGTTAGAGATACAGCCCCCCCCATTTGGATTTGAGCACTTGCAGCTTGTACCACTGCCATCCAGTTCAGTCCGTGTTCAATCAAATTCCCACTCCTTTATAATCTAAGTACATTAAAGAAATGGGCCAGAAGGAAAAGTTTAAAAGCAAAGCTTCTGGAGACTATGCTTTAGCATTTACCATTGACAGTTAAACAAAATACTTTGCTCTCTCACCTTATGCTGTGCATGAGCCTCTGTTACATAATGATCTCCAGCTACTGCGACCATCTATCTAAATTTTCATGGCATTTTCACTGGTCATGAGCAAATATTCCTCATGAAGTACAAGCAAAATAAACACTTAAGACCGTTACATTTTGGAATTGTTCAATTTCCTGGATTCAGTACACTGCACAAGATGGTCCAAAAAGAAAAGCTAGAGAGAGCATTTTAATGTTTTTACATTTCAGCACACTATTATGAGAATATTGGTAAAATCCAGTTCTTAGCTTTTTTCTTTCTTTTTTAGTTAATACCAGCTCATTGTCTCATCTGCATTGCACTGCATTATTTCTTGGCCACAAACATGTGTTTACCCGTGAAAATCTAGTGTCAGTCTTAGTTACGTGTCTTGTGAAATTTCAAATGCTCAAGCCACAAAATAAACAGAACTAAGGAAAAACCAAAGCCTCAACCATTGTCTCAGCTCATATTGTGTCATGATCCAGCTCAAACGATTTTATGCAAATACACATAAAATGTGTATGGTAAAAGTGAGTCAGAGTTTACTTAGCCTCTTAGTTTAAAGAGCTTATAAAATGTATAATTTCTTAATATTAGCCTATATAGTCAAATCTTGCTAATACACATTTGGTTAATTCACCAGCCAAGCAATTGAAATCTTCTGATGCACAGCTTCTACTACTGACTTCACATTATTTGAACAAAATACATCACAATACTAAATTCTGTTATTAAAGGACAAATTTAAGTACCTGAAATTTGTACTGAAAAGTACAAATTGAGATAGCTTAACATAACTAAATCTGACAGCAATCTTTCCAAAAGGTTGGATCATGTCCCATATAAATAAAACAATCTTCAAGACAGTTGAATAAGATCTAATTTCTGCAGGACCTACTGTATTTTTCCATCTTATTTCACAATAAGATATTGGTGAATAAATACAGATTACCATATGTTTTTATTGTGAATTATGTCCTTACTTCAAAAGTATATTTATTGTTATATTTTTCAGGGATGGCAAAGAAGATATTTTCTATATTAGAAATTTTCCAGGCAATGACTTCAGGCAAGTCTACATCTAGCTACATCATCTCTTTTTGATTTTTGAAAGCTCAAGTTTACAAAGGACTCCATCCAACAGCATTACTCCAAATCTACATGAACAAGAAACTTGCAAGAGTATTAAGCTGCCAAATGCAGAATTACATCAAGGCTATGTAATTTTTTAAATCAAGGAAGCAGAAGAAGAATATGTATGATGGTAAGAAAGCTTTTTTAGCTTATGTTAGGCATGTGTGAAACACTGACACGAACCTATCAGAAAGAGTCCTTAAAAAGGGAAGAGAAAGGTAAAGAGGATGGAAAAATAGGGTTTTCAAAAAGTATACTTTGATTCATTGTTTTGATTGCAATGGCTCTCTAACCCACTAATTAATGTATAGCTGTGCATTTCCATGAGCTATATTTTGACAAAGATGTCTTCAAGTTCATGCAGACCTGAAGCAAAAAACATTTCTCTGCCACAAGCTGAAGCAGGCATTAATTTACTTCACTGTCAAGCAAACAAGTAGCTTTAAGCTACTTTACAATGAGTCCCAGAAATTAAATGTCACTTTTCTGAAGCATACAGGATACAATTAACTAAGCACTGTATTGCTGTTCCATTTTATTTTTCTAAAAATGGCAAACACAAAGACATTGTTGGTAAGAAAATACGAATTGGTCTACATAACAAACAATCTGCAGCGTTACTGTATATTGATAGTCATTCATCTGTTTTAAGTGGGTATACTTTTGTGCAGGTATAGTCTGTTTTCAGAGTGTATTTTGTTAAGAAATCCAGTCTGGTACATCAAGATCAAGTGCATCTACCTAGAAAGTAAACCGAAAGAAATAGGTTTCCACTCCTCACTGACTTCAAATGAAAAGTACACACAGCAGAAGTACCATTTCCATGAAGGCAGTGAGACCTGTCTTAACAGACATACTTAGCACGCAACGAAAAAGCCGAGCAGAAAGCTAACAACTAACCCTGAGAAGCAAGCCAGTCAGCAGCCCCCCACTTCCTCTGAGAGGGCTCAGCCATGTGGGATAGGAGATGCAGCAGTGAGTGAATCCAGCCAGCCAGCCGAGCCATTTCCAAGAAGCAGGCTCCTCTTCTCTTCGAAAGCCTAACCACTCGTCACCTCATCTACCCCCACAGAGATGCCTCTGCGCTCCTTTCCACAGGCACGGCTGCCTCTTCTGAAGCATCCCTTGGCAAGCCTGGGGCCTGGCAAGGGGGCAGCTCTCCCTCAGGAATGAGCCCCCAGCCAATGCCCGCTCACACAGGGACCCTGCTCCACTGTGCCCCTGCACAGTCTGAAGGACAAACAATTTCAAGTAATGTTGTGTGGTGGCTTTTCTTTCCTTAAAGGCATTTTCCCAATGGTGAAACACCTACGGCAGTCAAAGACCTCAGCCATGTCAATCCCCTGTCAGGTAAATGATTGAAAGTTGATCATTAAAAAACACAGCCGTGCAAGAGCATGAAGCTGCTTCCCAAGTTTGTGACTCCTAGTGACCGACTCCGCCAATAGACCCAGTACACCAATGCACACCCCCAGGCAGGAGCACTACCTAGAATGAACGCAAGCTGAGTAGTTCCAGTGACCAGGGGATAAGAGCACATGGTGGGCTGGGTACTGGGAGCCCTCCAGCCCGATCTCCTCCCAAAGCTGGGCCAACTTTCTAGCCATTTAAAGGTGCTATCTGACTTTCTTTTGTACTAAGTGCCTCAGTTCCATCAACGCGAGGACCTTCCCCGTTCTCTAAGGTGTGAAGCCGACCCTCCGACCCTCACCCCGCCGCCAGCAGAGGCGCCGCTTACCTGCGCTCGGAAGTAGAGGAAGAGGGCGACGCTGCAGACCACCTGCCCCAGCCCCAGGAGGACGAGGGCGGCGAGGAGGGAGCGGGAGGCGGGCGGCGGGTGCGGGTGTGCCGGCGGCAGCGGCGCTGGCGGCGGCGGCGGGGCGCACTCGTGTGCAGCGCCGCTGCCCAGCTCCTCGGAGCCGCGCAAGTACTTGGTATAGTCTCGGCTGGCGCGCCGCATCGCGCCACGGGCAGCTCCGCACCGCTCCGCTCGGTCGGCTCCACAGGCGGCCAGCGTCTCGACGGAGCTCCCCGACCTCGGCAAACCACCCCGCCGTCCCTGCCGGGCACCTTTTATAAACTGGGCAGCCAATCAGCCCCGCGCGGCGTGCCTCTGCCTGCCCTCCCCGCCGCCACACATCACCACCGCCCTTCCTCGCCTGCCCTCCCCTCCCCAGGCAGAGACCGGCCCGCGGCGGGAGGGTCGGGTCGGGTCGGGTCTGATCTGATCGGGTCTGGTCGGGCCCGCCCCTGCACCCGGGGCCCCGGCCTCCACCGTCCCGCAGGTCGCCCGGCGATCGCGGTCGGCGCTGCTCCCCCTCGCGGAGCGAAACTCTTCACCTCCCGTCTACCGTGAGATGGCGAAGTACAGCTGCCCCGCCTCGACCGGCTGCTGCCCTGCTCGGGCCCCTCGGCCCCTCGTCACCTGGTTCCCGCACAGGTGTGCAACCCACCCGGGCCTCCCGTGGCAGCCAAGGCAGCTTCGAGCGTGGGGTTACGTCTGGAGGGTCCTTTTCCCCAGATCCCTGAAAGCAGCGGCACGCTGGGTGGATCCTCTCGGTCACCCCCTCGCCCCTTTGGTGGTTTCCTCAGAGGACTGTCAACCCCTCCATGATTTAACTCACTCTTCACTCAGGCCAGACTAAAATGAGCACAAACGGTGTTGACTTGAACTGCCCGAAACAGGCAATGCAGTTCAGAGCCTGGGGTGAGGAAATGTCAGAAAGTTGTGCAGACTCCCGGCTGTCACAGTGACCAGATTGAAACTTCCGCATCTGCCCTCACACAGCTGCTCCGCTACAGAGCCGTTTCCAAACACTCAGGAATACCTTCCTGCACATCTCAGCTTGCATTCTGTACTGAAACCTCTTCTTCGTAAAACCCTACTATGGTTTGTAGGCACCTCCTTCATATACTTGCTCATTTAGTTTATTTAGCATCTTTCCTGCCTCCAGGAAGTGTTCCCTCCCTCTGGACTTTCGCTCATCAGTTTATCTACACTTTTGGAGATGTGACTATCTCCTTGGAAGATCCATTTTGTGTGCCTGACTAGCCCACTTTGCAGAAAACTTTCTCTTAAATCCCGCAAAAGTGCTTGTTACGAAGGCAGCGCAGGTCTGCAAGCCTGTAAAATTCAGTGGGGTAATGGTGCAGACATAAAGGCAAGTGATTTGAAGTCTGGCCGAGGCTTTGAAAGGTATGGGATAATAACACAGGTCCATTTTTGGGCAGTCATTTGTCTGTAGAAGATCAATCTAGTTTTTGACTCTTGAAATGCAACAGAATATCCCATTTAGGTCTGCCTAAGCTAAGAAACTGAGAAACCTTACCTCCCAAAGAGGCTGACCAAACCAGACATGATTACATGCTCCAACAAATTAAAGGAAAATGTCTGAAATGCATCAAACCACCACACAAGAAGTTACTATCAAAATAAGCTGATACCATTTAACACCGGACCCAAATGGGGCAATAACAATTACTTCACCAACAATGAGACACATCTGAGAAATGATGGTGAGAGCACCTGTTTTCCAACATAACCCACCAGGAAGTCATGAAGCAATAACCCAGACTTGAATGGCTACCTCTACCTCTTCTTTCCAACTGCTTACTTTTATACTCAAAAACTATTGGTAGCATTGTGATCCGTAATGAATTGCAGGAATTGTTTCTCTAAGTGTGCCTCAACTTTTCTGAAAACAAAATGAAGCTAAACTAGCCACTATGCCCTGCAAAATAACCATGAAAATAATCTCATATTATACTGAGCTGGGCTCCTCAAATGAGTTTTGGATTGGCCTCCAATAACAACTTTTTCAGGAGAGGAATAACAGTGAAATAATTTTTTGCAGTGGTACAACTGTTGTTTTTTTTTAGGGTCTACATAGTTTTTAAAATTCAGTCACCAATTAGTTATGAAACAGTTGATAAAGGAGAAGTTAGGATAACATCAGCAATGCTAGGAGATGATTTTTGATGCTTTTGTATGAGAACTCAAGAAAAAACTTCTCATCTTGGAGCTCAAATCTCTTCCTAATGTAGAAAAATTGTGTAAACTCTTCAATGTTCTTTTCTACATTCTTGCAGAAGAAAACACAAGGAGACTTCCACTGAAGAGTTATGAGGCTCTGCAGACACCATCTTGAAATATTTTTTTATGCAAGAAAGCAACTTTCTTGCATAAAATGTGCTTCCCCCAGGGTCACTGCTCTGTAAACTATCTTCTCACTGTCACCATCTTTCTTACTAGCATCACTATGGCACAACAGGGAAGGATTACACCTGATCTGCATGTGGATATCAGGCTCTTGAGGATTCACCTCAAGAAAAAGACTTTAACCTTCTCACCAAACTAGCATGGGATCCTGGGATGCAGTAGAATATAGGATACACTAGGATACATAGATAACATCTGTACTGAAAACTTGCATTCCGTCATTGATTTCTACCACAAATTCAGCAACCAGAATTGTCCATCAGACTATCTCTGGAAAACTTACATCATCATCAACTTTCTAGACACCAAGGTCAACATAAAAAATAGCAACCTTCAAACTACCATATGCAGAAAATCCACAGACCAACGCACCTCCTTCCACAAACCATCAGCTACCCAAAACACACTAGAAAAACTGATATGGAACCAGCCCACAGACATCACCTCATTTGCTCTGAGGAGAGCATGCATGACACACCCTCACAAAGCTACAGATGATGACACTCCTCTAGGATCGCATATTTGAAGAAGCCGCCTGAACATTGTACAAACTTACTACAACACAGAGAGAAAATCCCCTACTGGGTATCACATATCACAGTATGCAGGAAATGTATGCTGGAAAATATTAACAAGTTACGACTTATGTTGGAAGAAAATCATACCTTGAAATGATTTTTCCCAGAAACACCCCTTCTTCCCTTCAAAAAACATCATTAGCTCTGTCACTGAAAACAAGTTTCTGTCAGACCAGCATAGCTCAAGAAATGAGATCAAAATCTTGCCACAACCCTCATGATAAACACCTGCAACACCAGAAGCACCAGAATCCACAGATCCTTCACACATGTATCCTGGAGTGTTGTAGGCATCACACGATGCATTCCCTGCTCTTAGGGAACTCTGGGGGTGAAACCAACGAACCACCATATGCTACTAAGTTAGGAAAGAACAGTGACATCCGGTTACCATTGGGAAAACTATATTCCCAAAACAGCTACTCCATCTCTGACCTTGCAGTCCTGACACTGCAAAACCATAGATGGGCCAGGGAACTAAAATGTGTAACTCTATCAGATACTAGACACCATAACAACAGGATTTGAGACAGGCCTCAGCGTTTCCCCATATCTCAAATTGTGCTGCTCTTTGGTGGGAATTACTGTTTCCTCTGATCATTTAGCTTCCATCACCTCTTACACTCTCAGCAGGGTCAGGATCACCCTCTGCTCCCAAAATAGCAAACACTTGTCTCTCAAATGTCTGACTGATTAAACAGTTAAGTGCCATTCAGACTAAATGACTGCTACTGCTGAACCCAGGACATTAACTATGATTGCTTTCATATTCTCCCTATGTTTTGGACCCAAAGAATAGTTTATCTATCTGAAAATACATCTGCTTTATCTAATACCTGCATTACCCAACTGTTGGCCTAATGAAAGATATTCTCTTCCTAAAACATATGGCTTCCTTTGGATTATGTGAGGACTAATGACCTATCTAACAGTTCCTACGAACAAAGCCTTGGCTCTATAATGCATTTTTGGCCCCTGAGCACAATACAGCTCTTTGCTATTGTCTGCAAAATCCTTTTGTTGCAGGAGATGACCATGAATGTACTACCTGTTGTGATAAGACTGTGTAACTGCTAGGATTTTTTCATCATTTTGCTTTGAAGCAAAACAGGAAACATAGTGTTTGCATAAAAGACTGTGTTGAAAGTAGGTTCTCATTGCAAAGTTGAAAGTCTTGAAAATCTGAAAATGTCAAAGAGCAGCAAGCCTGCAGGTCAAAGTAAAACATGAGAAAAAAAGTCCTTTTGTTTTACTTTAGTTTGTTCTCCTTCACAATAGGGAGAATCACTAAAAGTTCTTCACCCAACCTTCACTTCAAATGAGGCAGCATTTGCTAACTCAAAGGAGATTATGCAGCTGAAATACTCCATTTCAGTAAAGCAGTAAGAGCATTCAACCAACTGCGTCACTTTGGGTTTTTTTTTAACAAGCTTTGGTGTTATATTCTTACACTAGCAAGATTTTATTCTGTGGAGAAGTGTTTGTAACTAGCTTCTTTGCTATTACTATTGGCTGGAATATTGTTGGCAAAATTATTTCATGAACAAAAGTTTGGATTGGACCTGGCACAGATGTTTAGTTGAGATGTATCAGTTTTGAGCATGTTTTGGACAGTAAGTTTTCAAAGGACAGAACAGACTGTTCAGGGGATGTAAAGAGAATCCTGTAGTGAAACTCCATGCACGTTAGGAGGAAATGAAATTCTTCAACCTCCAAAACTGTCATGAAATTAACTTAACCATACCTTTTCCCTTCTCTACATGCTATATATATTAATCACTGGATTAATATAAATAAATGTGTACATGTAAAACAAAGGGTGGCAAAATATGGCAAATAACACAGAATGTCTCACTGAAAACTTATGCTTTTATTTCAGACAATATTCTAGAAAAGTCTGGGAAACAGCAACTGATATACCAAGAAATAATTGCTATATTTGAAAACGGTGGAATAATGCATTAAAATGTCAGTTAAATTCCCCAGTGAATTGCCATTCTAGTTCTTTCCAGTCTAGTGGGTTTACAAAGGTCAAAGCAATAAACCTGATTTTGAAATCTCAACAGAAATAATTAGTATACGAAAGTCTTTTATGATTATGTAAAAACTCTTACATTAAAGTAGTAGAAATAGCATTTTTACCTGTTCAGAAAAAAAAAAAAAAAAAGAAAAAGAAAATACTAGAAATTGTAGGAATGCTCTTACATTGTATTAGAACTGAAGTCAGCAACTGGGTGTTGGGGAAAACACCAGGCAATAAGAGTTCATGGCTCTCAACACTTGGTAAAACAAAAAAAAGCCACACGGCTTGTCAGTAGTTAAAGTCCTCAGAGCCTGTTAAAAAGCTCAGAGAAATGGGTGAAAACATTATTCAGACATTAATAGGTTCTGGAAC